CATAGTCCCCACATAGATTTTCATGTATTAACTTTTAACGGGAACCTGATTTATTTCAAGTTGTATTTCATCAGGAACTAACTGAGAACCATTGAAAACCAGCAGGGAGTACTGAACATCTATCTGTTTCGGTACTCGTCAATATCATACACTGATGACCCCACCCATTGCAGATATCGAATCCAGGACCTTAAGATTACATGACAAGTACATCATAGTTCATCTGTTGAGACGGTATCCAACGCGTTCATGAATTCTATCAAGCTTCTGCTAGTTTGTGATGTGTGTGTGTGTGTAGAGCGTTACTGTCAACAATGATATAATCACTTTCTAATTTCAGTTGTTTCCGTTGTCTGTTTACTCTCTTTGTGTGCATTTTTTCTTTCTTTTCATATGCCTTATTTTGATGTTACAGTAGGTAGATAGATGGTGGTGACGTTTAATGTCTAATCTCTTTAATTGTCGCTTTTATTACTACTATATTGATTTCTATCGCCATCATCATCATCATCATTGTTATTGTCTTTGTTTACGGCCAACTATCTGATGCTTTCTTTTTTGTCTTGTTGAGTTCAGTGTCGTCATCATTGTCTGTATTTGAGCAGAGCAGAGAAAAGAACACTATAGAGTTTTTTTTTGATATGATGAATCACAAAGAGTAGTGAAGGCATCTGTGCCAGCCACAATGACAATGATTTTGAGGTATATCATTGATTGTTTCTAGCTTTCATTGGTTCTTACCATCCCGAGGACCCCAACCACACACTGGTGATCTACACCTCCCCACGTGGCTGGCTTAAACTAGCTGTTGTGAATTTCATTGACTTATGAAGTCATGTTTTCGTTTGATCACCACTGGCCAACTCTTTTGCAACCTGATCAATCCTATGTCCGCCGTTAACATCTCCAGTCGTCGAGGAAGGCGATCGGTGGCTAGGCTAGGTATACGTAACACATGTCGTAACCATCTAAATCGGTATAACTTCACAACCTCGTCTATTGACTTCCCCTCTAACTCACCTAGCACCAGACCGATGCCAAACCTCAATATTACTCACCCTATTATACCACCTCCTAACATGGGAGATAGAACGGAGACACATGCTCAAAGACAGCCAGCATGGCCATGTCTCACTCACAACGATAAAGGGAGGACAGAGCGAACTGCTGCTGTGCAGTACACACGTCCTTTGATCGATAGTCAGCCAGCAGGATATCATGTTTACTTAGCCAGAGATGGTGTAATTTGGTGGGTAAATGGCGAAGGAGCCTTCTGTATGTGTGCTGTGATTTCGTTGGCAATCGATCAACCCTCTGGAGCTTCTCAAACAAGTGAAGTGGTCAACACGCTCAGCAATCACTTCACCCCCCTCTGTCTTTAATCTAGGAGTGAGTCGATGTAGTCCGGTTCATCCCAGTCCTGTAGCAACATCTCACATTTGACACAGGAGCGAATCACATGCTGAGCATTGGAAGATGGCTGTTCCTCAAGGTATTGATGCGACTCTGCTGGATTTTATCAGCGTCTTCGCCTAAGAGGGAAGACTTTATCATATGAGTATTCTGAGTGAACGAAATTATTCCGTGGTAACAAGAAGTCAGTCCCCGAGACGCTGAAGTCAGCTGGGGTTAGGTCCATTAGTAGTACATCTCTGTGAAAAAATTAAACAAGTGGGAGACAGTTGTTGGCATCCTTGATGGACACCAATAGTTGTGATGTTCACAAATATCTATATGAATGCATACGATATTTTCAAGTGTTGGTTTGTAGGGATTTGATTGGTTACAGAATTTCATCATGAGCTGACATCAGTTAGAGAACTATTGGAAAACCTGGGAGTACTGGACAGTTGTTTCGTCCTAGTTTGGGATTCTTCAGTAGTACGTACCCACCGGGATTCGAACCCAGGTCCTTCTGGTTACAAGGCGAGTTCGAACTCCTCAATGTGGGTACGTACTGATGAAGAGTCCCAAACTAGGACGAAACAGCTGTCTAGTACTCACAGGTTTTCCAATGGTTCTCTAACTGATGTCAGCTCATGATGAAATTCTGTATACGATATTTGTTGGTTATTATTACTATTGTTATTATTATTTTTATTATTCTCTTCAAAAGTCGTGAAGCCAGGCTTAATGTTCACATTATTTTGTTGGAGATATGACTCATCAGCATCGTAAACATTGAACCACGCGTTAAATTGATTTAGACTTTGAGAAACTTAGTCCGCCTACACTATGTTGAGTGTAAGCACTTGAACACTGGTACAATCCCACTTACCATTAAATGTATATATATATATATATATATATACCACATCATAATCTAATTTGTCAGCGAGTCAGGTGGATTACATTATCATTTTGTTTTTTAATTGCTTTATGTCAGTTTTAAAACGTTCTCTACTGCAAATTAATCGCTGAATTGTTGGTAACCTACCTGTGTTATATGTTGTTCAGCTAATATTGATTTTAATGTTGATTGATTGATTGAGTGGACTGAAACGTTCGAAGCCTAGTGCTCTGTGAACACCCATGGGGTACATGGGCTCCAGAATCCAACCGGATCAAATGGCGTATGAACCCATATGGGTCGCTGGCAACCATGAGAACGCAGCTCCTGACGCTGCTCCGCTGCCTTGCGGATTAGACTCCACGTCAAAGGCTCGGGGGGGGTGGTCCCTTAAGAAAACCACCTGCTTCTGTCTGGGCGCCCGGGCAGTATCTCAGCCCTTACACAATAAATGAAATGAATCAATAAACTATTATTGAAACTCACCGCGCGCTCGTAAAAATGATTTCGAGAAATAATGATACATCAAGCAACTTATGTCCTTCCAACCTTACTTTTATTTTTATACTTAGTTTCCTGTATTTTACCTTTGCTCAGCTTGACTTTTTAACCTTCGACAGCCTTTCGCCTTTGTGTGTATTGCTAGCCTATCTGTGTCATTTTGAGATGTTAGTGAGTAACCGTCAAAATGGTTGTCCCCAATGTGACATCTAACACAGATATCCTGAAACCGCGTGCCGCGTTCAAGCTGGCCACCTACTGTGAACACTTTAACGATGCCCCTAGGAATAAATTAAGTGAGACTGAACACATTTCAGTCGAATAAATAATCATTTGGTAAAATGGAAACTGATTTCAACCAATAATACGAGTAACTGATTCGCGTTGCACAAGAATGGTGTGGCTCCAGTGGTCTAGTGCGCAATGCTTTGGCGTTTAATGAAATGGTGGCTACATGGTTTCGAGCCTCAGTGGACGGATACCATCACTCAATGACTAGGGAATACAGGTACATCCAGCTGATGACAAGTCCCAGATAGGACGAAATGCACATCCTGAATTCTACTCACTGCTAGTCACTATCCACCAAATATATGTTATCTGAAACCCCTTTGATCAAGTGTGAAATGTGGTCACTAAGTTAAATGACATACGACTTTGCTGCTCTCTCTCTGTCTCTGTTCTGTACCTTGATGATTTGGGTGAGAAGCTTTATAACTCAGATCTCATGCTTTCTCATCCATAAGTTCAAATCCCTACTGGAAAACATGACTTTCACTAAGATGAACACAAAATCTATATTCCATCCCTTCACGTTTGTTTGTTTGCTTACCCATATGAAACAGCCGCACATCAGTGCTTTGTATATTTGAGTCACCCGGTTCCTACCCTGCTCCACCTAGTACTGAGGTTTAGAAAGCCACACACACACACACAAAATAGGTGTGGCTTATTTTATTACCAACCATGCATTGGAATTACTTTGTTGAATAACTTTCTTTTTCCGATAATTTTGTATAAATATGATAGAGAAGATTTCTAGGTGTGTGTTAGGTGGATAACATCGGTGTGGTTGTATTCCCTTACCTTGGATGGTTTCGTCGCGAAGCTTTCATTGTCTTTCAGGTTACGAAGAAAGTCAATATTGAATACAAGACAGGGAGGGGGTGAGAAGGAGTCCAGAAACAACCAGTCTCGTTGTCATGGTGTTACCAGGAGCAATGTCTGTTAGACTTGTGGAGGATTCGAAAAGCTCACTTCAAATTGAAGTTCACGCTGTTGTATAAAAAGAGACCACGAAAGCTTCTCAACCATAAGTCATCCATCTCAGAAAAGACAACAAACTACACATCCACTTTGCATAAAATTTCGAATTTTACAAACTGGACAGCTGTTTTGTCCCTCAAGTTTTGGGCTCTTCAGCATTAATCACATTTGATCCCACTTATCAGGGATCAAACCCCCAGGACCTACTACTTGCCATGGTTACAAAGCTGTCGATCTTTGTTGAGCATTATTAAGTCACTGGGATGGAATCTTAATGACAGACTCATGAATTTTAGCTTCTACCAGTTGGCAAAATATAACGTGACTGTTAGCTAATGTTATCAGTGAGTGTTTATCCTCACCCCCCCCCCTCCGACTGACTGACAGGCTCAACTCAATGTATCACTCAAAGATAGAGAAAATAGAGAGAGAAAAGAGATTCAAAAGTACTGTGGTTAGCAGAAATGTACAGGAATTCGTATAAAATCATGAGAGATCACAAAGACTGAATGGATCTGTGCTGTTAAAAACTATTTTAAGCTTTATCAGCAATAGTGTTTTCAGATATCCTTCTTTAACATCCTATCTCAGTGAAAATAGTCTGCGCCTACCTACATGGTTGGAACTAACTGTCAGAGACTTCATGGATTGATGTCATGCTTTGATTGACCACCCCGTCTAAGTGTTTTTTTTTCAACCCAACTCTGTGTGTTTGTGTGTGTGCCAGTTAACATTCCTCGTCGGTGTGGTTCTCACACACACACACCCCACCACCAACTTAGATTGATTTCAAGTTTGATCCTGAACTGGCTTCAGTTAGAGAACTACTGAAAACCAGTTGGGAGTACTGGATGCCTGTTTCGTCCCTATTCAAGACTCTTCATTAGGACACATTTAAATCTTGTTTTGTTTTCTATTTTTCTTCTTCCTCTTTTTTTGATAGGTCCATCAAGTCAAGTTGCTCAACACTTTTATCGTAGCCTTGTCAATGGATCTGTTTGCGGTTCACCCTTCTCATCATCAATGACTGGTGGTGGTGGCGGCGCTTCTACTCCCTCCTCAGGTTTCAATTTCCTTCATACAAATAACAATAACAACAGCAGTGGTGATGCGTTTAACACCATCTCAGGCGGACATATTTTAACACCTTTTAATGGTTTGAATTCATGTTCCACTGTTCATCATTTGCGTAATTTAAGCTTTACCCCGTTGTCTATCGATGCAGACACATGTATCGGTGGTGGTGGCGGTGGCGGTGGTTCACAAGCACCATTGACGACTTCGACTACGACGACGACTACTACGAATTGTACAACTGCCAATCAATATTCTTCATCTTCTGCATCATCATCATCACCACCACCGCCATTGCAACAACCCCGCCCCCTTCATTATTTTTCTCTTCATTCCCCACCCCCCTGTCCTTGTCATTGACAACAGCCAGTAGTAATCATGATACAGCCGCTGTATCGACAATAGATACCAATACGACTAACAATAATAATAATAATAATTGTGTTATCATGCCGTCAAAATCGTGTTATACATTAGAAATGAATCGAGCGAAATAATGAAAATGATAATGATAATAAATAATGGTGATGACTTCAGAAAAATCTTTCTTATTTCTCATTTTCATGCCATCTCCAACCCCCAGCCCACTTTCTCCCGTTGATTCTTTTTGCCTCCATTGTTTCATTCTTGTTTATGTTTATGTACACTTACACACACACACACACAATACCAATGATATGACTGACTACTTCTCATCTGCATTATTTTCTATACTACAATCTTGTCTTTTGTACACTCAGAGTAACACAAACACACACGCTACATTTGTCACTTTGGATTCTACTGAAATGTTTCTGTGACAAAAAATACAACAAACAACAACAAACATTTTTGTTTACAAATCTGTGTTTACCATACTTGTTTATTTATTTATTTATTTGGTTTATTCGTAAAGACAGACAAATATGATGAAGTGTCTATTGCATTTCTACGATACCATCCTCTCTCTTCCTGTCCCCATCTCTGTCTGCCTTCTGTCTTCTATTTCTCTTCGCTTTGGTTTCGTGTGTGCGTGGACACTTAAATATGTGATTTACGCGTTTGCTGTTATCCTCAAATACTATCATCATCATCTGGGTCCCGGGCATTCCTAATCTTCTCCTCCTCTTTTTATGTATGTTCTGTTTTGTGTTCCACTCTCTCTCTCTCTCATTTTTAGGCACTTTTCCCCATTCATGATGGATTTCTTCTTCTGTTTGCTGGTCGTCTACTACGTATTGGTGGTACTGCATGTTGTTGTTGTTGGTGGTGGTCGTGGTCGTTAACAGTCGGTGTGTGTATTTCTGATTTCAAGAGTCAAAGTTACTCCCGTCTACTTGCTGCTTGTATATTCTTCTGTGAGGAGGTGGTGTAGTGTGGTATAAATTCAACAATGAGTAGTAGTTTATCTTTTCTCTATTTTTTCTTTTCTTTTTTTAAATTAGGGACTATTTACTGTACATTTTTGGTTGTATGATGCAACCCCACCCTTTCAGGCGCGATAACCCACTCCCCTCTCCACAAGCCAGCCAACTTTCACTCACTCACTTGATCTTTTATTGTTCAGTTATTGTTAATTATTGTTAATTCATCTATGTGCAATGGAAAATAATCAATAATAATAATACAATAATGTGTACATACGCATCCATGCACACAGACATATGTGGTTCTGTGGATGAATAATTCCCGTTTAGGATTTTCCTCTCTCCCTCTCTATATATATATTTATACAAATCCCTGTTTATGTATGTGAGTAGATGCGTACATCCCGGTTGTGTGCGTGTGTATGTGTTCGTGTGTGTGTGTGTGTGTAATTGGATTGAACTTTTGTTCCATTTTTTTGCCTTCCGTCCATCTATCATGTTATCATTGTATTACGTAATAATGACAATGATAATAATAATAATAGTAATAATAATTTGCGTAGGCGTACAGAAGTGTGTTATATATACCCCGGTTGTTATTATTATTATTTACTATTATTATTATTTTTCTTCTCAAAAAGCAAAAGAAATAAACAATTGATCCTGTGCCATCATTCTCATTGTCGTCATTATCGTGGTTATCTTCTAACCCCCCACCCCCCCACACTCCGCCAACTCAATATAATAATATCAGCGCCAAAACAGATAGATCAATAAATAGATGTATTTCTTCATATTGTTCCTTATTTTATATCCCTTTTAATTAAATCCATGTATGTAGTATACTCATGTGTTTGTTGGTGTGTGTGTGTGAGTGATTGAGTGTTTGGCGGCATGCTTTCATCGCTATACTTTCATCATTTGATTTTCCGTCCACCCTACCCCTCCCCTTGCTGCGCCGCCACTGCCATCGTGCCTCTTTTCCCTTCCTCATCCCAGCCCCTCTTGAATCGCTTTTGTGAGTGGTACGGTGCCACTATTGCTGTTCTTATTCTTGTGTGTGTTACTCTGTCAATGTAAGGGGAGCCTCCTTCTCCTGTCTCTCTCAGTATTTTGGGCCCTTCTTTCCTTTTTGTCAAATATCATATTTTTGTTACAATTTTATTTATCAGGGGGTTAATAATTTGAAATGTAAAATTTAATAAATAATCATGGACAGTAGATACTACTTAAATCACTTATATATTTATATATATGGTCTGTTTGCGGTTGGGGAGGGGAGTGTACACTACTCATTACTCATTTATATTTTACATACTAATCTATTTACTCCTATAGGCGTCTTTTCCTTCTCCTTTCTTGTGATTTTATTGTGTCCGTGTGTGCTTGCGGACGTTTGTTTGTACTGGAGCTTATAAAACAGATGTATTAGGAATTTAATTAACTGTAAGTGAATGAGTGTAAATGGCTTCATATTTTTGTGTGCTCTGCGTTTATATTTGAAATGCCTTCAAATGTTGTATGTACTAACTACTATTGCTATTTTTATTCTTATTACTATTATTATTATCATCACTCATAGTATTCTTTGATGAAGTAGGAGTACATTGATTTTTTTTCTGCACTTCATCATCACCTTTTGTGTTACCATGGTGATTGATTGATCATCAAGGTGCAAGCCATCAAAAGAGGATTATTATTATTCAAAGGAAGAAAGACTGTGCTGTACACACACATATAAGGTTTCACTGTTTTTTCTTCACATTCTCCTTCTTTCACATTGCAACAATCGATCTTACACATCTCTGACAGGTGTGTGTATGTTTTGTGTGTGGGCGTCTGTCTGTCTGTCTCTCTATCTCTCCCGCCCCCTCGTTTTCACTCGCCTTCTCATCCTTTCTGAAGACTTTTCATGCTTTTATCATTACCATTTATGCATTATACATATTTCATCCTTTCTCCCTGTCTCTAACACCCCCTCCACCCGTCTGTTTCTCTTGTATTTTGATCCCAGTGATTATGATCCTGATAATGATCCCGATCATGTTGATGACGTCACATAGACACACCTACACACAAGAGCATAGAGTTTATCTCCTTCCGTTGATTCTTTCTTTCTACATATATATAACATATTTGTTCGTTCGTTTGTTATTTATTTTAATTTACTTTTGTTTTTGGCGGGGTTCTAATATTATATACGTTTGCTTTCGTTTCTGCTCCCCTTCGTTTCACCAAAATATTCATTCAATATGCCTCCAATCGTTTTTCTCTTTTATTTGTTTAATTATTATTATTGTTATTCGTTGTGGTTTTTTATTATTTCAATTATTTCTTCGTTTAACACACTGCGGTTTGTGGATGGATACCTTGAGGAGAAGAAAGAGGATTCTCTGGATGTATAGATAGATTGATAGATGGATAGAGAGTCGGAGAGAGACTCAGAGAGGAAAGGACCAGTGGTGTTACTTACTGTGAAATATCTATGGTTATTACATTTATATATATACATACATATACGCCTACATTTATACATATATATATTCAAGATGATGACATTTTCCAAAATAAAATGTATACTTCTATATATAAATATTGTAATTATTGTTCCTTTGGTGGGGGGGGGCGGGGGTTCCGAGTGGAACATAGGGCAGCTTCAACAACACATCCATCTCCTATGGGCAGAAGTTGGAATTCATGGGCTGGCTGGCCATTGGATTCGGTCCCAGTAGACATAATGGTCTACGAGCTAGCTCGCTAACCTTGTAACCAGAAGGTCCTGGGTTCGAACCCCGTCGTCGGTGGAGTGGGTGCGTACTGATGAAGAGTCCCAAACTAGGACGGAGGAAACAGCTGTCCAGTACTCCAGCTATCCAGTAATCCCAAGTTGGTTTTCCAATGGTCCTCTAACCGATATCAGCTTATGATGAAATCCTGTAACCATCTTCACTTTGTTGTATTCTCCTTTTCTCTGTGATCCTCTTAAACTGGGCCCATGTTTGCTGATAGTCTTTGTTCTCCTCGAGTTCCACTCGGTCGCCTCTAAGTGTGTTCGATCCATCTTCATTTTCTGCTGCATATTTGTTGAGTAATAAGTTTTCGCATGTTGGTTCGTTCGTTACCTGCCAGAGTTTTTTTTTGCTAATTCTTTCTGATCAGCTGGTTATTTGATCTTAAATATGGAGCCAGCGATGATGGCAATTGTTGATTAAACTCTGAAGTAGCCTGTTTGAAATGTTTTCCGTGACGCGCTCACCAAGTTCCTGACCAACATAAGTGAACCGACTAACTGATTGACTGACTGACTGACTTAACATTTATGCTGAAACTCCGAATTTCATTGTTTATCCAGGCTGAGTGCAGAAGATTTCCAAACTGACATCAGAGTGATGAAGTTCTGTCTTGCCTTCCCGATTCTGATTGACTTCGATATCTTCATCTGTTCCGACTGTCTGTAGTTGAAAGGATGCTGGCTGCCTAGATAAGTGAAGGAAGTAACCTCTTTCAAATCTCTCTTGTTGATGATGATTGGCGCTGTTTGTTGTTGTTGTTGCAGTTGCAATTGGTTGGTTATCTTCATCACCTATCTCTGTCTTCTCTATTTTCACTTGGAGTCCTATCTTCACCTCCTGCTTCTTCAGGCAGTTTGTTGGTTTTTGCTTGTCAGTGTTGGAGTTTGTGTGACATTAGACATAAATCATCCACCGCGAAATCTGGATCGCCTGTCTTTCCTGTCTTCTCACTCCCCACCACAATTAGAAATATCATCGGTCATCTATATAGAAACAAAGATACATGTTAATTCTTCTCCCTGTTCTTCATGCAAAGACCAGCCGATACACTGTGGGCAGTATATCCTCTGTACGTACGTCTGTGTAGAACGCGTAATGCGTTGTATTTCGCTGTGTTCTAGCAAAATCCAGATTAGTTGACCCGAATAAGATAAGAAATCTAGAGAATAGTTCAGCTATAGCACTCACTACATGCAATTACACACAACCATACAATAGGATGGGATAAGATGACAGTTTTAAAGTCTAATTTCACAGGGTGAATGGAGGGAGAGATCGATAACGGAAGCACCTATCCTAGGTATTTGAAAAATTCTACTACACTAACGACGAAAAATAGGAGAAGACAAAGAAAACTATAAAACTCAAGTTTCGATTATGAACAATAAATTTTGTTCGAAACGTCATCCAGTAACCATTAATATTGTTTCACTGTGTGATATATCTAATAAACAAACTATTATGGAATTGGTTACGGTAACAAAGAGTCTCTTTTCGCCGGTGAACTCATTTTCTTAGCTGTACAATTGCAAATATATATGAGTTATTTTGTATGTATGTGTATGTTAAGTTTGTCATACAAAAAAGGTACTATTAGAATTACTTACTACCACAGTGCCCAAATTTTACACATTTATTAACCTTGACTGTATAGTTGTCTAACGGTACTGTTGAGGTAATTTTGAGCTTTTGATGTTATTACTGTTGAACAGAATCACAGATTTATCGAAGAAAGATAATCATCTTTCTGCTGTCTTTGGAGCATTTCGTCACTCAGCGTGTCTCAAGGGAGTTTCGGACAGCTATATGTGGAACACAGTCCACAAATAGTCAGTTATGGTTGTAACAGAATGTTCCAAAGGTAAGAACGAAGTCACTCGGCTGCAGAACACAGTGTCTGTTATTGTGAACAGTTTGCGAAAATATTTGTGCAGGCACAGTGGATAAAAGTGAGTTTAAAATGAATGCGAATCATGGGCAGTGAAGTATTGTGGCGTGTGCTACTGATAAAACTTATCAGTAGTATATAAACAGACGTTCTTCGGCCTAAAAACATAAAATAACAGAGAGAGAGAGATTCGACGTCAGAGAAAGCAAATGAGATACAGCACTCCAGGGAAACATAGGAGATGTGAAAGGAACACAATACAAAAGGGGACAGAAGTAGCACAACACGGAAAGTGTGTT